TACCTCTCTCATGCTGAGAGGTGGCCTTGTGTATTTCCCTGGCATGTCTTTTGATCTTGTAAAATAGCATGCTCTGGTTAAGAGCTGGTCTCCAGATGAGCAAACCCACCACAGCACTTCAGTAATTTCAGGTTATGGCCAACTCGGAACGACTTGTGCTTTCCGGTTTCCCTGGCACACGGCTGACATTACAGGGCTTACTCGTGATTAACACAGCAGCTGCAGAACAGCCTTGTGGAAACACAAAACCAGCATCGTTTGTCTCACCTCACCACTGAGTGCTGAAGCTTCCATTTCCTCATTAGGAAAATTCCTTTTACCTCAAAGAGCTATTGTGAGGAATGAGGGGTAGAAATAGCTGCGAAGCACTTTGTGAGAGCCAAGGAAATGTGAGTCACCACTTGAGTCTCAAGTAGGATTCAGCTCAGTTGCGAGTAACATAAACCCCCAAATACCAGTGGCTTAAACAAGGCAGAAGTTTATTTCTCTCATAATAAAGTCCGGGGGTGCGACAACATGGATAAAACTGGAAGACATTATGTTAAGTGGAGCAAGCGAGAAACAGAAAGACAAAGATCTCATTCATATGTGGAATCTAAAAGAGATGCACTCATAGAAGCATGAAGTACCGACAGGAAGGTTTGGGGAGATGTTGGTCAAAGGATACAAAATTTCAGTTAGAAAGAATAAGTTCAAGAGCTCTGTTGTTCAACATGGTGACGACAGTTAATAACAATGTATTGTATACTTGAAAATTGCTAAGAGAATTGATTTTTAAATGTCCTCACCACAAAACAATAAGTATGTGAGGTAATGTGTATGATACTTAGCTTGATTTAGCCATTCTATGATGTATACACATATCAAAACATCATGTTGTACACCATAAATATATACAATTTTTATTTGTCAATTAAAAATAAATAAGTAAAGTCAGGGAGAGGAAGTCTGGAGTGTGTTTGCTCCACAGCTCTTAAGGATCCAGATTCCTCGTATATTATTCCTCCATTATGTCTGGTTTCTTTTCTTTTCTTTTCTTTTTTTTTTCCTTTTTTGTCTTTTTTACTGACTGGTAACGGGATCGCAACCCTCGGTGTTGTGCCCGCACCGCGCTCAGCCAGTGAGCGGGAACCGGTCTCCACATGGGATCCGAACCCTCGGCGGGAGCACCACCACGCTCCCAAGCGGCGCACTCTCCAGTGCGCCACCGGGCCGGCCCTATTGTGTCTGGTTTCTATTCCCCCAGTCACCTCATGATCCAAGAGGGCTGCCAGAGCACCAGCCAACACATCCACATTCTAGCCAGAAGGAGGGAGGAAGGGTTCGAAGAGGAACAGGCCTTTTTTCTATCAAGAACACTCTCTATAAGGTGCACACTCCCCTGTGCTCATACCCCACTGGCCAAACCTGAGTCATGCAACCAAACCAAAATGCAGGGAAAGCTGGGAAGTATAATTTTTATCCTATTTGGTCATGCACCTAGGTAAAAAAAAAAGGGGGGGGTTCTATTACTATAGAAAAAAGGAAATTAGCAGACAAAGGGAGACTACCACAACTTGGTTGGCACTCTAGGCAAGCAGAGGCTCATTCTGTAACTTCCACCAGTAACCTATGGAAAGATTGTACCATTTGCCAACAGACTTTGATCAAGGCAACACAAATACGCATAGGTGTGCTTTCCCATCAAGCCAACTTTCTCAAGGGTCACATATGGACTGAAAGTCGGACCCCACTCCCTGGTTCCCCTTGGGAGAACTCACCCTTAGCAAACTCTCGCTGGGCTCTGGGCTGTGCTGATTGAGTTCAGCCATGGCCCATGCGCTAGGAAGACTTGCCCGGACTTTGCGTGAATGTGGGCAAAGGCAAGGGGCTCATGCCTACCCATCCTTGGGGCTCCGTGCTCCCTGCTCGGAAGTGGCTCCTCCTACTTGCCCGGCACTGCCTGCCTGCTTTCAGCTGGCCCCTGCTGCAGCAGCTCCCCCTGAGCTCTCCCAGGTCCCAGCAGGGAAGGACTGCTGTCATGGCCACTACTTCCCTCTTCCTAAGGCCCCCTCCAGTTCCATATGGGGGTCACCAAGCTGTTTCTGAAAGCACACATGGGATGGGAGTTGGGCTTTCTTCTTGTTAGAACTGGGGGGTCCAATATCTATATCAAGCATCTGCATATGAGAATAAAATTACTTGACCTCTTCAGGCCTCAGTTTTGGCATCTGTAAAGTGGGCATAGTGGTACCTCCCACCAGAGTTGTTTTGAGGACTAAAGGATGTAACTATGCCTGGCACATGGCTAAGTAGGTGCTGCTTAACACGTGTGGGTTTCCCTCCTCCCTGCTCCTATAACGTCCTGCCCATGGCACAAAGGCTGGATACATTTTCTCAAGGCAGACCTGGAAAATTCCTATCACGACAGGGGGCCTTTTCCATGGGCTCACTGGGTGATAGCTGATTCTCCTTCTGCCCAGAGTGAGAAAGGCCCAATAAGCTTGATTCTTAATAAAGTCAGTTGTGAAGAGCAGTGAGTGGCTGAGGGACCATCCGGGATTAAAGAGGCATGACAACTAAGTGCAGTGCAAGCCTCTGGGTTGAAGGAAGCCTTGCTATAAAGGACGGTCTTGGGGCAGTTGGCCAAATTTGCAAATAAACCCTGGATTGGATTAGAGCATTGTGTTGAAGTTGAATTTTTGGAATTTGATCGTCGTATTGTGGCTATGTCAGAGAATGTCCTTGAGAAGTATTCAGGAGTGAAGTGTCACAGTGTGGGCAACTTACTGTCGACTGATTCAGCAAAAATGAATCGGAATGAGAACAGCAACGCATATGTTATATATACGTACAAACAGAGAGAAACTATGGCAAACTGCTCATAAGATGTGAATCTAGACGGGTTCATATAGGGCTCATTGTAATAGTCTCACAACTTTTCTGTGGGTTTAAAACTTTTTTCAAAATAAGTTTAACAAAAGGGAAAAAAAGTAAATAAACTAAAAAAAATATTTTTTTAAAGGCCTGACATCCTCTGGGGCTGTTCACACCTGTGTGAGCACTTTCTGGTAGGCGTTTGCAATGTTCCAGCATTTCAGGCCAGTGCAAGACACCAGCTTATGTCCACACAACTGTCGCCTTTGGAAGCAAGGGGCTGGGAGGGGGGCCGAGCTGGCCCAGGGTCTCCCAAGAAAGGCAGGGAGAGCCTGGAGCTGGGGCCAGAGGGGAGGATCAGTGTCAGGTACCTTCGCTTATTCTTTACCCAATAAACATTTATGAAGAGCTTACTCTGTGCTGGGCACTGAGCTGGGTTCTAATTTTCCTGACTATTTCTGAATTTTGAGGAAGGCCATTCAGATTTGATCTGTGAACTGGCTGTTTATACCTTTGTTCGTTTTTCCTTTTCTTTTTTTTTTTGTCTTTTTCGTGACCAGTAAGGGGATCACAACCCTTGGTGTGGTGTCGCCCGCACCGCCCTCAGCCAGTGAGCGCACCGGCCATCCCTATATAGGATCCGAACCCACGGTGGGAGCGCGGCTGTGCTCCGAAGCGCTGCACTCACCCGAGTGTGCCACGGGGCTGGCCCTCAAACTGCCTTTTGAGGAGTGAAGTGCGCAACAGCAGTAGCTTGAAGCTTTTAGAGATCTTGCCTAAGAATGTGTTTATGGTGAAAACGTTTCTGAGCCCCACTCCCTGGAAAGTCAATGGGGGAAGAGAGTAGAGTAGGCGTGGTGGGTGGGTGCAGTATCTCCAACACTGCTGTAACCATGGGATTTAGTCTGCAGGCCCCATGTGTTTTGTGCTCACTCATTGATAAAGTCAGATACCACCTTCTGGAACACTCTCCTGGTGCATCCCTTCCCTTTGGCTGAGTTGCTGGCTTGCACTACTACATTGTTCTTTCAGGGAGCTTGCTACCCTCAGAGACGTTGAACTCTACTCCCCTGCACCAACCTCGTTCGTTCTTTTTGCCGATCACCAGTCTCTGCTGCAGCAGTTCATGGAATGATACCTAGTGTTATTTATTCAGCTTACCATATTATAGTAAACTGGAGGAAAACGCAGAATACATGTCTGTACTCATTTCTACCAGCTTAATATTGACATGTTGGATGTGTTTTAAATATCATGAAGTTCAGAAGATAAGCGTAATGGTAGCACTATGCTTTCTGTCCTCTGTACAGTTAGGGTAAGAAGTCTGCAGAAAGACGACGTGGCCAGGGGTTCAACTAGTTGTGTCTGAATGTGGTCTAGACTCTACTATATATTTTTTGTAGTGTGAAGTTTACTTGATTAGAGCAAATCATCACTCGTAGTTTGTTTCCTTAATATTGGTCATCTTAAAGTGAATCAGGGAGCACACCCAGGCCTGGGATCTTCTGTTTGACACATGAGAGTGTGGGGCTCTGAAGCCACCAGGGTTCTTTGCTTGGGCCAAGTGTAGCGCAAGGGCAGAGAAGGAAGGGAGGGTGTGCAAACCAGGTCAGTGAGGCACGCCAGGAGCCACGTCCCAGACTCCAGCCAGAGACCAAATCAAACCACAAAACAGCAAAGGCATCAGGCAGAGCGACAATTCTGGAGCAGGCTTCCTCCTACGGCTTTCGATACAAACGTCAAACAAGGGCCACGTTTTCCAGGCTGTGCGCCTACATCGCTGAAATCAATTTAGACTTCTATTTCTGGGAGATGTCACAACTTGGATTTTTTTCCTTTTAAAAAAAAATCTGAAGCTATTCTAAATCTGCATCCAAATGCAAGTGATTGAGCTTGAAGTGCTCTCAGGATGCAGTCTGTAACAGCCCTGGCTGAAGACTGAAACTTCTAGACGGACACCAGGAGCCTGGGACGTGTTCCTCTGGGAGGGGGCAAGAGCTGGCCCTCTGGGGGAAGGTCTTCAAGGCCTAACCCTGCAAAGAAACTCTGCAGGGGCCTTTAGAAATTAGGTCATCCCTCTTCCTCTAACCCATGTATTGTTTGTCCCCAAGCTGTTTGGCCTGCAATCTGAGGAGACAACTGACTTTTCATGTTTTATACATTTTATTCATACATTTCTCCAACTTTGAAATGACAAAAGCCCAATTCTATGGTTTCCCATTACACAGCATCCTACAGGTATGTATATTCTACAAAGAGTACTATGGAGTTCTCTTCTTCCCCTGTCACACGAGATAACTGATTAGGGTTTCATCGACTTGTACTGCGCTGGCTGTGTGCCAGCATTCTGGTTGTTCCGGCGACAGGGCAAAGGGATCAGGATGGGAGGGCGTGTGCTAAGGCATGTAAATAGATACACACAGAGAGAAAGAAAGCAGGACATTTACAAAGAATCCGAACCTTTCCAATCCCTTCAGCTCCTGGGTGTTGAAGGACACCTCCTGCACAAATGCTCTTGCAAGCTAAGGCTTTGCTGTACCCTGCAAATACTTACAATTGGATACGGTGAATATACAACAACCATTAACATCTCTCTTTTTATCACTGAGACAATACTTCAAAACCTTTTATAAAAAGGCAATAATACATACAGAAAAAAGAACACGTTGGCAAAACTTTATGCAAAACCACCCCAGAACTGAGTTTGAATGGCGACGCACCTACACTGCAATGGAACATGATGCTCTGGTCTCAGCATGTGAGGGTTGCTGCCTTCGCATCAGTCATGCTGCCTGCTGCACTCGGCAGCTGCCTGCACAGATGACATTTGGGAGACAGCTAAGACTGGAAATCAATCCCTCCGAATCTTGGTCTTTTTCAAATGAAAAAAATTGGTGGGGCCACTCACTGTAAAGGGATGCCTGTTTCTACCCCCAAGCACGACTCCCTCTAGAGAGATTGTACTTCCTCTGGGTCCAGACATGGTCACTCCCAGGCTGCTGTCAGTAAGAACACTAGCGTATTCCCTTAGTCACACCCCAGAGAGAATGGAGCTGACACATAAGTGGTAGAAAAGTCTGAGTTTCTGAGCATACATAGAGACAGTTGTGCTTGGGGCCAGAAACGAGGTCTCCTGTGTGGTGACAAACATCTCTTTCCATTTTCTTTTGCTCAGTCCATTTGCACAGGTTCAAAGGAGTTGATGGAGGGTCAGGTGAGAGATGGTGGGAGCTCAGGATTTTCTATCCTCTCAAAGAGCTAAGACTCGGGAGGGCCTGCCCTAGCGGTGAGCTGCCCCCTTCCTTCTGGTTTCTGCGGCTGTTTCTGCCCACCTGCTGCAGCCGCAGAGTGGCAGGAGAAAGAGTGGATGGGGAGATGCTGGTGAACACATGCGTCTTCTCCCTAGTCCCCACTTCCTGGCTTATGCTGACAGCTAAACTTCACTCACTAAGCTGGAAAATCTGAGCCTTCCCTTAGCTCCAAGTTTAAGGCAAACCAATGTGAGTGTGCGGGCAAAGCCAATCAAGCCTTAAGCCTTATGAGAACAGGCCTGGAACTGGAGATGCCAAACAGAGAGGGAAACCTTATTTCTAAAGGGATAAGAAAAGGAAAATCTCTCCCAGACAAAATGATTCATGATTAAAGCATGTAGCCCTTCTGTAAACTGCAGTTAGAAGCAAAGTTTCTTTCTAAGAGAAGAATTAATTAGAGGCGCAGAACAAGAGAAGTGCGCTCAGGGACCTTTCACCTATGCCAGGCCATAATCAGCCTCAGTATTGTAAGCCCTTGTGAAGAGGATGGAATTAGGAGGCTGCATTTGGTTCTGAAAAAGCAGAAAACAAAAGGAAACCCACACCGGTTTGGTGATAGGAAACAAGCAGGAGGGAAGAGGATGTGAGGGGCTTGTTTTGGAACGCTGATTGCAGGGAGCCTTCTCTTCCCAGGGAGACAGAGTGGGAGGCATTTTTACTAAGAAGGTATTAGTCAAGCAGTTTTCTTGGTAGCCTTAGCAGCATGTTCTCTTTGCCCTAAGTTAAGAAACTGACCTGAAATGAAAAAAAGGACATCACATCAGTGGGAGAGAAAAGAGAGTTTGCTTTGGGCTGCCTCATCCTTAGGGGCAGCTTCCACTCTGGGCCTATCTACTGTCCAGTTTCCTGGAGGGTGGCTTGATTGACTAAACTTTTTCAAGAAATGAACTCGAAGCCTTAATGAAGAGATTTAAGCGATTTAAAAACAAACAAACAAACTCCTCCAAAGCGATGAGATCAAAGGCTTTAAAAAGATAGTAGTGGCAGTGCCTCCAGGCATGCCTGGAGCACAGAGGAAGGCTTGGCCCCGCTGGGCTGAATTGGACAGGGGAAGAGGGGGGACTTTGCACAGCCTTAGATATTTCGCCACCAATAGGATGAGCTGGGATGATGCCTTCTGAATGCAAATAGCAAGAAGTAGGTCAACCATTTCTTTTCCTCTCTGAGCAAATATTTTAAACCATCTCACCTGACAAGAGATAGATACATTTAATTGCATTTTAAAAAGCTACAATGTTATCTTCACACTGGGAAACTTCCAGATGAATTAAATTGAGTGACGTTTTCCTTTTTAGCGTTAAAATTGAATATGCTGCATGTGCAATGTACTCGCTGCCTTATGATTAGAAAATCAGGACATTTCATTTTTTTTTTAACAAAGAATTCAACATGTAGGAACACTCTCTTTCTTACTGTAGGGAGTGGGGTTGGGGTGCGGGAGAGAACCCTCATAATATGGCTCTTCAATGCTTCATTTGACCACTGATAAGATTTAGGAATCTAATCATTTGGTCTGGTATTGAAAAGGAAAAAGAATGGTTTTGCTGATGGAATGGAAGCAGTTAAGAAGCTTTTAGCAATTTTCTGTGATTGCTTAGTGGACAAGTGCAATGTAGCAGCAGCAGCAGCAATGTCCTGAAATCACTGTGAATTCAGAAATTTAAGTATTTTTCTGTTAGGTCATAAAGACATTGCTTTAGAGGACGATGATCTCTTTGAGTAGTCAAGGAGTTCTCGGTGTGGGGATGTGGCCATCAGCACAATGGCCAGAATGCTGCCTGCCTGTATGTGGCTCGGAGGATGCACAGGCCTTTAAGCCACATTGCTTTCCTCCTCCTGTGCTCAACCCACCTTTATGAACACGGTGGATGGCTTAAGAAGCACATGTCGGCATCTCTGGAGATTTTGGTCTGAAAGGGCAAGTGGAGGCATGGGGGTTTCTACCAGAGGAAGGGAAGTTTCTGTTTCCCATATGTCCGTTGTATTCTTCCTTTGTGCTTCGTTGGAAAAGAGGTAGAGCAGGCACTCTCACGCTGAGAGGAGCCCGGATTGTTGGTCAGTACCATCACAGGAATGACTGTCTGGCCTTGGCATTGATGAGATTTAAATCAGTCCTAACACAGCCCTAAACAACTCTTTGAAGGTTTCTCTCTCCATCTAGGGCGAGACCACTGTTGAAGACTGTCTCTGGTTTGGTTGTTTGGTCACCCCACTTGGGGCCCAAACAGAAGTAGTTCACTTAACACCTTGCTAGTAAGCCGCTGACTCATCTGGTCACTGACAAAGAACAACATCAGGAAAAAAAAATCAGCATCGTTTAATAACAGTAGGTGGGGGTGGGGTGTTGACAAGGTAAAAGGAGTATACAAATGCCTTCTCTGTTTGGTCCTTTAAGAGGAGCTGTTCAGCTCAGAACACACCCTGCACATCCTGCCAAGGCACAAAGTGACTGAGGCCATCTAACTTACAAGAAGCAAAAACGATGGTATGTTTTCAAGGATCACAGGTTTATATAAGCACTTCACACCCTCACAGGCTAATGAAAACATCCTACTGACCTCTGGCAAAGAGTCTGAAAACCCCCAGCCCGAATCTCCTGTATTGGAAGAATGTGACCTCATGGAAGGGTGATGAGATGGTTAATGTCTCTAAAGCAACAAGGACAGATGATTCCCCTGTGCCAAGGGATACAGCAAGAGGAAGGAGAGACCACAGGTGGCCTCCAGTACACCCGCGGCCCTCGGGCCCACTGCTCTCTGCAAGTCACACGTGGTCCGAGCTGTGCTCTGGCAGGCGATTTTGTCACCCTGCCAACCGATACTCATTCCTGGGCCTTCGATGGTTCAATGAGCATCTAACAAATTATAAAATCGAAAAGATTATCAGCTTGGACACCTGCACAAATCTATAATGAAATGAAGGATCCAAAGGCATTTAATTATTGAACACGTAAAAGGAAGTATATTTAAAAAAAATTGGTCAAACTGTCCTGTTAGTTATCATTTTAAAGGAATTTACAGGGCTGTTATAGATTATTCTTTTGGAATAATTCAGTTTATAGCAAATGCCTAAACTGGTTTCTTCATTGCACAGTATTTTCTCTTAAAATGGGTGCTTTAAAACAATTACATACAGATTAAAAATCCTCATTTCTTTACTTAAAACGTTAATACTCTTAGACAACACAGATCTGAAATGGTGAAACCAGCAATTCCCCCTCCCACCTTACAACAAATTAAATTGAGACAAAATTACAAACACATTTCACTACATGATTATTATTAATAAAAATCAGTTTCTTTTTTTTTTTTTATAAAGTTGCCCGAAATGCAAGGGATGTGCATAGGTTTACAACTTAGTCATAATAGCATTTTATTCTTATTCCCCTGGGTGTGCCCCGTGAACGGAATGTACTTTGCTGTAGATTACAGATTGTTTTGTCCAACACAGACACACCGACAGCATAAACGCTCGCGACTGTCCACATGCATTAAGAGTCAAGACCCAACTTCAAATCTCTAAAAGGTTTACAGGGTGCTTCAAAGAGACAGTATCACATTATCTGGATGTTACATAAAGGACTTAAAAAAAATGCTATTCTAAAAAAAAAAAAAGAAAAAAAAGGCCTTTAAAAATTTATGACTGTTTTGTAATCACTAGACTAATTATTTCAAATAAATAAAGGAAAGAAAGATATTCCAATCCATAAAATCAGACTCTAAAAAGAATGTAGTGTTCCACCCCCAGTCAAGGTAACAGAATCATTGTTTATTATTATTAAAATAGATTATAGAAAGCAGCATCTATTTTGTGCAGTTTTTAGGGGCCTTGGAAATAAAAAGCTATGATTTCCAAAAATATAACATTCCAAAGGATTGAATAATACATACATTTAAAGATACATTTTATTAAAGTTTAGGAGAACTGATTAAAAAAGATACTGTCTCTTTAAATTAGTGTGTAATTGTTTTTCTCCTCCTATCTATTTGGACATGACAATAATTATAAATGTAGGTCACACTACAACTAGGTAGTCTCTAGGGACCACGACCTGCTGATACAAGGCCGATAACAAAGAGGCTTTTCCATGTATGAGGTGGCTCCCAGTTATGCTCAGATATCTGGGGAGGGGCCTAATAGACCCAGGAGACTGGGACCCACTGCGGGGCTGTGCACACGAGCTCGACGGCTTCCTCCAGATGTCTGATTGTCTCATCAATTTCATTGTTGATAATTGTGAGATCGAAGTAGTGTGCATATGTTCTCTGTAAGATATCAGACTCCTTCTGCAGACGCTGAAGAGATTCATCCTAAATGGTCATGGGATGGAGGCAGGGGTGGGTGTGGGGGAAGGGAAAAGCAAACAGGAGAGAGAAGTCAGTTGGATTCTTTCTCTTTCACATGGCTGTTCGTCCCAGTGTCAGAAACAGTCAAGGCCAGAGCCTAACATGCCACATCTGGTCACGAAGCCAAGTCCGCTCTGTGACAGAGGAGACAGGGACTGCTCAACATGCAGCAGGAGGCTCCACGACAAACCAGATGAACCAGAGAAAACAGACACTCTTCAGCAAACATGTCACCCCAACCCAGGCCTAGCTGTTCCTGTCCCCAGAGTCAGTCGGGGTAAGGCCACGTGAGTTACCAGTGGCTACTGTGGCCCAAGCCGTTCTTCTCTTATTCCTCTAACCCAGGTCCGCAGGAAGCCCCGAGCCCTAGGCTTAAGCCTCCCTCCCATCTGGTGGGAGGGTTACAGTGACAGGGCTTCTAGGTCCTCCAATAAGCCCCTGCCTTTGGACAACAAATTAAGTTGTATTTTTTCCTTTTCTACTTAAAGGTCCAGCATGTTCTAGGAATTCAATTACATATAATGGCCCTCACTCAAAGCAGTGGATGCCAGAGGCAGAAGCTTTTTGGATGTTACGAATAATGGATGGAATAAGGCCATTTCCCAAATACAACAGCAACTGGCATTTGGATGAATCCCTCAAATTGGCCTGCATTGGAAATGGCCAGACAAATGTCACTATTAGTAGGTACTCACATCTCTTATGAAAAAAACTCTGAAAGAAGAGAAGCTACTGAACTTTAGGGAGGTTTGCTGCAGTAAACATGTTCCCTAAACATAGCTTGCTATGGATTCTGAGAACTCTCACCGGGGTGAGCCAGCAGTAGGAGGAAATTCAGGGTCCTCAGTTTGTTGCGAGAGTACAGCTTTTGTCACAGGAGAGCAGTTCTTTCAAGATAGGGATCTCTTAAGGGCTGCCCAAAAGAAGTCTGCCTCTGTATCTTCAAAAATCAAATTTGTTATGCTGAGCTCCCAAAGGACAAGCTCAAATTTGAAACTAGGGAACTCTGTGAGTCACATTAACCACCTCCTCACCTGCCAAACACTAGGAAGGTGAGCTATTGGGCTGAGTCTTCAACATACATACAATTAAATACCTGTTTATTTGATTAGTATCTCTCCCCCAACTAGGGTGTAAACTTCTTTTATGTGTCCTGTAATTGCTATGCCCCAGCACTAGGCATAGTGCCTTGCATACAGTAAGTGCTTAATAAATGCTGCTGAAAGAACAAGCACTTGGCTGGCCGATATTGGTCATTATAGGATTTTATGAGTATTAAATCTATAATCAAGAGACAGCAATTGTATAACAAAATGGGGGCCTAGGGTGACAGAGACAGATCTCCAGAGAAAATAAAAGATGGGGTGCCTTCAGGGGCCTAGGAGCTGTAGTGCCAGTGCTGGCTTAGGGCCCTTCTCTTCTCTGAGGCCCTTCTGCCATTTGCAAGAGACCCTTCCTGATGAGGCTGCCAAGAAGCCCAGGCAAGCCTTGGCTCTCAGGTGCAGCTTTCTGGAAAGGGGATCTGAAGTGAGATAAGGGAAACTCACTTGATTCAATCCCTTGATTTGATCCCGGCACTGCAGTGGGGATGTGCAGACACCAAGAGCACTCAGGAACTCAATCTTTACTATCAGGACACTCTGAGACGAGAACGCCCTACCTGTTTTATCATCTTCTACAGGAATTTCAAAGCAGGACACGGCATGCTTTGAATGTTAGGGTTAACATATGACAGTGTAGATAAGACCTCAGTTAATCACCTTCTAAGGTCCTAGCAACACATGTTCTGCTTGCACTTAAAAAAGCATAGTATTTTCACTGTGGCTTGGCTTTACAAGAAACACAATGCAAAAGCCCCATTTTAGGAAATGTGCATTCACCTGAAGACAGGAGTGCTTCCTACCACAATGAGAAGGAACGATTCCTATAATGTTACTCTCTGGGCTAAGGGATTCTATTTGAATGTATAGTCCTGGGCTTCAAAAACCACTAGCAGAGTCTATGATTTGCTCAGAAAGCTGGGCTGATGAAAACATTTAAGAAAATTTATGGCTGAAAGCATCAATTTTTGAATGTAGTTCTCTTTACAGAAAAGTAAAGCTCCCTTTTCAGGATCTTTTAAGATGAAGATATATTTGTCAGTTTGTTCCTCCACGACAGCTTGTCTGCATGCTTGACTCACATGTGAGCAGGGTTTAACTCAGTGAAAACAAAATGCCTTTATTCTAACAGCAAAAGCAAGGGTTTGTGGGAACAAAACATCTACATTCTAAATCTATTAAAAGAAACAGGGCTGTATTTCATCACCTCCTAGCTGGTACTTACAGGCAATTTTCTGCACCATTTTGGCAGCTACGGAAAATTAGTAAAAGGGCAGGAAAACAGGCAGAACAAAAACAAAAACAAAGCAAAGATGATAATTCAAGAAAAATACATGGCAACCAAAGGATAAAAGCTAACCATAATGTGGAGTTTCAAACACGCTTGTGCATTAAATAAGATGAGAAAGTAGAATTTTACAAAGGAATACACCTTTCGCAAATGAAATGACAAAAAATAATGACTGAAAATATGGCTAACACAGGTAAATTTAAATATTTAATCTTCCTTAAGGGTACACAAGGTGAAAATTTCCAAGCCTTGATTTAACTGTATTATAAGCTTGGGTGAGTTTAGGCCAGTGTTTACTGCACAGAGCCAAGAGTCCTCTGATGGTTTCTCAAACCTGCAAAAGTAATGGTCTTCAGGATAACTCTGTATAGGAGTCTCCTCTTAAGTAAGGAGCCTGCAGCAGATAGGCACCGCTATACTTACCAGACACATGATAACTACCCTTCTCATCTGCCCAGTAATAGAAAGCCCTCTAAGTTGGCTTGGTAGGAGAAGGCACAGCCAATCTCGCAGGCACTATCTCTGTGGCAGCTGTTGACGAGTTGGCTTCATAGTGGGCAGAGCTCATTTCTAGGTTTGGTAGTCTCTAGGGGCCTGGACAGAAATCCCATAAGGGTTCCACTTCAGAGGCTGCCTAGGAGAACCTGGGCAACCAGGCCAAAGTCATGGATCCCTTATAGCTTCACGTAAAGGGGTTCCTTGGCCCAGAGCTGGCTCTGGGGGCTGCTGCTGTCTTAGCACAATCCCTATCGGAAGAGGGAGTAGGCAGGTGTGCAATGCCTGGGAAGCCTCCGTTCTGATGGGGTGTAGGGGTTTACCCGTAGACTTTAGAAACAGACTTATTGATAAGGACACGGGCTGTCTCATGGACCATTCTATTCCACATACCGTTTCATCAGAGCAGACTTTTGATGCAAATGTAGACTGATATGCTTTAGACTGTGCTGGGCGTTAAGGCTTGATTTTGTCTAATGATTCTGATCTTAGAAGAATCAAACTGTTTATACTGCTGCTTCATTCCTAATACTCAAAGAGGACCTCAAGCTCTGGAGACCTTACTGCCCAGTGTCATTAACAAAGCAGAGCTTTGTTTAGTTGTCTTAATGAGATGGGGCTTTGGTTTTGAATGCAACAACACATACAGATCCTTACAACGGGGAGAGCTTATTTGGGAAAACACTGATTGATTCTTACCTCATTTAAACCCGGAGTAATAGTTGGTGCGGCAATAAAAACAACAAAGGGGGCAAACTCTGCAGTTCTCAGGACCTTCAGTGCCTGTGTAAAAAAAAAAAAAAAATTGAGACTTAAAGAAGAAATAACTAATGCAACTTTCAAATGAGTACATAAAAAAATTTACAAAGCTGAAAATTTCAAGCCCATAGTTCCAATTTTTAGCAAGGTGTTACTAAATTTACCAACTTTATAAGTGACATATTACTCCTTTTCTTCTAAAAGATGGACAACAGCCATCAGAAAATAAAAGTTGACAAACTGGACATTTTTCTTATGAATTTCTTGAATTAATCTGATTTTTCTCCATTAAAAGCTAACACTGATTATGCCGGTTAATGTTCATTTAAACCTGGTTATTAGTTGTAACCTGAATTTTAATTGATAGGAAATGCATTTTGGGGTAGACTTGGACTGCAGGTGTGCTTCACCACTGAACTGGAGGCCACTTCATCGCATTTAAAATTTTGAATCACTGACCAAGGCTAACAAATCCGGGCCACTATACCTGTAAGGGCTGTGTTCACTCTTACATAAGGCCTTCTGATTGCCCTGATGAAAGGCCCCCGTGGGACTCATGGGGAAGAGGGACCTTGCTCAGGGCTGGAGTCATGAGCTCCGGGCCTTTTGTCTTAGCCCTGCCACTAAAGACGCTGTGTGGCTGTGGGCAATGTGTAGGCCCACGAGAAAGCACTGCACTCAAGGGAGAAGGATCTCTGAGCCCCTTTCTGTTCCCTTCTGAGGCATGGAAAACCACTAACTGGGCGAGTTACTAGTTTGCATAGATGTACTGCAAAGCTTCAATCAGATGCTGTAGGAGTTGATTCTGGTAAGGGATTACTATTTCAGCTTCTCCCCTGGGAGAATAGGATGTTTTTGGAGGTCACAAAGTCTCCTCCAAGGAACCAAACCCAACACATACAAGTACACAATTCACAAGTGACTGACATGTAATTAATTCATATGCATTGGGGGTAAACATCTTACTGTCCTTTATACAAGCATTTAATGTGTCTATTCTGTTAGCTACATATTTTTCTTTCTTTTTTATTTTTTTAGTTATCAATTTTTTTATTTTATGGATCATGCATTTGGTTTTGTATCTGTGAATGTTTTTCTAACTCTAGGTCAAAAAGATTTATTTTTAATGTTTTGTTTTGTTTTTATCGGTTATGAATATTCATGGGGTACAAAGTAAATTGTCACCACTTGTGCCTAAGATGTGATGTCCAGATCCCTTGGCCTCTTTCAGTATATAGGTATGTAAGACACAAATTTGATATTAAAGGCTCTGACTTTTTTAGTGCAAGGCTTGTTGTCACTAGGATTACATTTCTGAATTTTAGTCACACACTATCTTCTTGCAGGTTAAGGGAACCCGGCACATTGTTTAATCTATCCATCGAAGTTCTTTAATTGTTAAAGTCACAGGCTCAGATTCCCCTTGTAAGAAAGCTCTTCAAGCTTGCATATGTTCACTTCTGAAAGAGGTAACTGGCAATTTCTTTGCCAATCCTTTTGTGACTGAAGACTTTAGTAAGGAACAAACATCATGAAAAAGTCCATATATAGCTCAATTGAGCTGAACAGGAATCTTCACTTAGAAATGTCCTTTTTGTCAATGTTATCTTGGGCCTTTTTTCCTTCCTTCCTGCTCACAAATCTGATGAATACAGAGTCGGTTGAGACATATGGTTTTCTTATCACCCCCACCCTCTGTCACACATACATACCCACCCACAGCCAGCTTTTAGGCAACTGAGATGGGAAGAAAAATCCTACTTGCTTCTATCCCTGAAGCTACTCCGAGTGCCAGATGGAAATCCTTGCAGCCTGGATGCTGAATGGAACCCACGGATGAAGTAGAGAATGGCACCCGGGAGTGAAATGATTTTTCTCTGCTCAGTGACCTGGCCTGCTAGGTCACTAGACTTTCGAATGTTTTCAGTTCTAGCCTGTTATCATATTACAACACCAGAAAACAAACACCTAGGAAAATTACTCCTGCAGATTATCCAGGTCTGTACCACATTCACGCCCTTAGTCTATATCCATAAACATATGAGAGTCATTCTGCACTTACTGCATAAAATCATCAATGAAGGCTATGTTCATCACATGGCCAAATGCCTTCTGTGGCTAAGAATCAGGGTGTATTCCTTGACTGCCTTTGTTTGCCTTGGTTGCCAGGAAGTTCAGAGCTAAATTTAATGTTTATCACAGTCACTACAGTAGCCCCTGTGGTTAGCATGTTTGCCTCCTCCTCCTTTTCATGGCTTTGACTTTCTAATTGTATCCTATATCACTGTATTTTCAAAAATTCTAAGATGCCTCAAATCCTGACAGATTTTCTTGTCTAGTAGGCCTCCTATCTTTAGCAGAGGCATCACGCATTTCCTCACGTTCTTGGTCTCTGTCCCCATACTCTGCTATACTTATGGGTTTCAAGTGGGTGCCATTTTTGGTATAGTCTTAGCTTGGCTGAGATTCAGAGTCACTTCAGGGACAGGAAATGAAAACGCTCACAAGGACTCTCCTCTCTTAGGCAGTTAATAGGTGACTTAAAGATGAACTCTAAACCCTCTTGCTTTCTGATTCAAGATGAGATGCAAATTTGTTAATATTTACAAGCAAATATCTCTCTCTGAATCCCAGAGAGGTAGAGAGGAAGAGAGAAGTAGAGAGAGGTAGGGAGAGAGAGGTAGGGAGAGAGAGGTAGAGAAAGGTAGGGAGAGAGAGGGAGAGAGGGAGAGAGAGAGGGAGAGAGGGAGAGGGCGAGGGAGAGAGAGAGAGGGAGAGGGA